TTATTATATATATATATATATATATATATATATATATATATATACCGAACGGTATACCGCTTGGTATATAGTATCGTACCGTATCAAGAGAAGGCCGAAACTCTGGTACGGTACAATATTTCAATCCTTGCTACAGAATTTGCATTCAACAACTCAGTCAACCACTCTACTGGAAAAAGCCCATTTCAAACTGTTTCAGAACTAGCATTGTAGCCCACTCTACTGGAAAAAGCCCAATTTTTGAACTATACCCCTCACACCCTATTGACCTTGTACCTCTGCCACTTGACTATTGTGCCTCAGAACTAGCCCACTCCTTCGCTCAACATATTCATGACTTGCATGTTGAGATTCAATGTTAAATTGCCCTAAGAAATATAAGTTACAAACTTGTTGCTAATGCCCATCGCATAAGTCAAGAGTTTCAAGTTTGCAATTATGTTTTGATTTGCGTTCACCCTAAGAGATTCTCTAAAAACTCATTCAAAAATTTGTGTGCTCAAGCCATTGGTCTTTTCCCCATTATCCATAAACTAGGATGTAATGCATATATGCTCGATTTGCCTTTCGACTTAAATATTAGTCTAGTTTTCAATGTGGAGGATTTAACTCCATGTCATGGTACTTTTGAGCCTCCTCTATCTATCAATGTTCTTGCAGGTGACAATCCTCATAAAGTACTGATTCTCCCACAAGGCAGAGATGACATAGAGGTCATTCTTGATGACCACCTTGTTACATCTGCTGCTAGCATTACTCGACACTTTCTTGTTAAGTGACATGATCGTTCAACTTCTGATGTCACTTGTTTTACTTTGGAGGAACTTCATGACTTTGCACCAAACTTATTGGATCAGTACCTTGTAGATCACTCTCGAAGATTGAGTTCTTTTCCACTGAGGGAGAATGATGGAGAACCATCAAGCTTTACAAAGGATTTCAGAAAAGTTTATTTTAGGATTTTAACAAAAAAATATCAATTAGTTGGCCTAGAAATCCTAAGAGTTGTGTTGAAAATTGAAATATCTTTTGGTCTTTCTAGGGAATCGTTTTGTATTAAGTGCACTTTTGTATTAAGTACACTCATTTATTATTTAGATATCCTAGAAGTTATATTTTGGATTTCTAAAAGGCATACTAATTCCGTAGGAGATTACTCTTGGTAATCATTATCTTCATTAATTGTACCAAGTCTCCTAAACCCCTACAAATAGTGGAGCTTGTTAATGGATCAAATATTTTCAGATTTGAATGAAAAGAATTGCATCTCTCTAGTCTCTTGCTCTCCTCTCTCATCTCACACTTCTTTTTCTTTCTCTTCCCCTCTCTTTTTCTCTACTTCCCTACTCTGTTCTACTTCACTATGCTTCATAATTTAGGTGTTTATCAAATGGATATGTTAATTATGGCAACACCAACGACCATATAAATGTGGAAAGTCTGGTATTTTAATATGTGACTGTATGATTTTTGAAGAGCTTATATGAGGTGGGCGTTCTTGAAGCCACTTTGAGATGGGAGTTCTTGCCTGATGAGTTTTTGAGGTCCAATATGTTCAATATTCTCTTGATAATCTTTGAGTATCTAGGAACTGTTAGGATATGAAAAGGAATATCCATTTATTTTTGAAAATTAGTACTTCTGGTAAAGATTATACAATATAATAAATGGCATGGTGAGTGCTACAAATTGTTGATTGCAAGAAATCTTGATAAGGTCAAATCATGCCATGAAGTGGAGGTTTGTGATAATATATATTGATCCCATGTGTTGGAAATTCAGGATTGTACTGGCTTAGACTATTTTTTCCTTGGATCATCGAGAAGTCTTCTATGTATAAAAATTAGAAGAATGAGAAGATTCTTGTTTTTAAACAATGTACAGGATTTGAAACTTCTGTTGGCTAACACTAAGGCACCCAATTTATTGAAACTAATCTTCTCTACCCCATAAAGAGACTTTCCTTTTAACAATCCTTTATCATATCTTTTAAGGTAATTGCTGGCATGTTGAATAAGGTATTCTTCGATCTAGTTAATAATTAGCCTTTGGATATTGTTAAAACACTTTTTGTTTCTATATTTTTCAGTCCTGACAATCATGGTTTACAATAGCTCTCTGTTGCATTATTTATTTCAACGCTCTCAAAGTTACTCTACTCCATAAAGAGACTTTCCTTTTAACAATCCTCTATCATTTCTTTTAAGGTGATTGCTGGCATGTTGAATGAGGTATTCTTAGATCTAGTTAATAATTAGCCTTTGGATATTGTTAAAACACTTTTTGTTTCTATATTTTTTAGTCATGACAATCATGGTTCGCATTAGCTCTCTGTTGCATTATTTATTTCAATGCTCTCAAAGTTAGAGATAGTTTCATAGTTTATATTAGCTCTCTGGTACATTATTTATTCCAATACTCTCAAAGTCGAGAGATAGTTTCAGACTCTCCTGGTAACTATTTTGTCCTTTTTACAAGGTACTCAGAGAGGTAGCAACACTCTCAAGATTGCAGCACCAACATGTAGTTCGTTACTATCAGGTTTTTGCTCTTAAAAATTCTTTTATTTTATTGAAATGTGTATTCAGTTGCCATTGTTATGAGGGATGTCCTACTGATGGTTCAGTGATGGATCCAATTTTGTGGACTTTTTTTATGACAATTTCATAGTTTAGAGCATGTTTTAAAAAACCCCGCAGCCTGGTATCCACTGGACAGCAAATATTGATCTGGCAGAGAATTGAAATACTGGCCAACCCATTCTGGATGGTTTAAATCAGGCTTAGGAGGTAGTATATCTTTAAAACTGTGAATACTGCTAGGTTCAGGCCTTGATGAGGCAGTAAGCCCATCTGTGTTCTCTTTGGTGGTAACCCTTTAAAACCATGAATACCGATTGGTTCAGGCGTTGAATCAGGTGGTAGGCCCATCTATTGTTGCTTTTTTTAATTTGGAAGCAACTCTACAACCTGTCAAATTACAAACGTACTTTAATCTGTCTCCCTCTTTCTTACTCTTACTCTCTCCTGAATTGGGAGATCCCTGTTTGCAGTCACTTGTTTGCCTCCACCACCACCATCTGCTGCTCGCCTCTGTTGTTTCCACTGCCATTGCTGCCTGTTTCTCACCGCCTGATACTTATCCTCCGCTTCCCCTCTCCTCCTCTTCCTCCTTTCTCTGTACCATAGCGCCTACCAGCATACCATGCAGCATTGTGCTGGTATGAATCAGCCTCATGCAAGTCTAGCTAGGGACCAGTATGGGTCCAGTACCCAAGACTTTGAACCATGGTATGAAGTGTATATTTTTCAGGGTTTATTCTATAAGTATTCCACTTGTTATTGTTCTTATGAAAAGAAGATAGGAAGTTGTGAAATTAAAAAACATCAAATTTATGATAGAATGGATCAAATTTATGATACTGTATCGATATTTCGACCTGGGCTCGGTATCGCTACGGTACGGTATACCGAATGGTACACCCAGGTGTACCAAGCGGTACACCTGGGTGTACCGAGTACTGTAGCACCGGTATACCTGGGTGTACCGAGTACAGTGCTACAGTGCGGTGTACCTGGGTGTACTGAGTACAGTGCTATAGTGCTACAGTGACTCGGACCAGTAACAGTCGGTCCGTGTACCGAAAACCTGTCGGACCGGTATGTACCGCCCGTACCGGGCGGTACGGCTCGGTATGGCAGACCCTGCTTTTGACTTCCATCTTGTCTACCATGGTCTTTAACTTTCCTCACCCTTCACTTTATAATATTTTTCTTACCATGCTTATGTCGACTATTTACTATACCATTTATCTGCTCTTGGACTGTCAATATGCTTTGAATTAAGCCACTAAAAAGATCATTTGATCTAGAAGCTTCCAAAAGTCTTGTGTTTCCCTGCCTATAATGGATAAACTATCTTGGTCTTAATGATCAACTCATAAGGTTGCCAAAAAGGAACAACTTGCGACAATGAACCAATTTCGGGATGAGACTTGCACAGTAGAAGTGATTTAAGGAACATGGGTTGGAGACAAGTGTAGTTAGTAGTATTTCCAATTATTTTTAATTTGTCTGTTAAAGTTAACTGTAAAATTATGCTGCTTTTTAGTCATACAGATGAGATTTGAGCCTATTTTTGTTAGTCTAGGTAGCTACTCTTCCATAAATAAAAAAGATGATCAAGTGCCTTTGCTCACTTCAATGTATACAGTATACACTACAAAAATTTCTTGTATGATCAATTTTCTCATGGAAGGCAGGCTAGTTATGTTATAGTCATGCAGTCTAAGTCACTATAAGCGAATTCATAGTTACTGCAACGATCATTTTCTCTCTCAACCTCACCTAATTGTGATATCTACAAATTTGTTTGAGATTCAATTTACGTATAAATATGAGTATCATTGTTTAGTTTTGGTGTCAATTGATTGTTATGTTTAATTTGCAGGCATGGTTTGAGACTGAATATGGTAATAATAATGTAGATATCACTTGTGGTTCAAGAACTGCTGAGAGCATCAGCTATAGCTACATTGGTACTAGTTCAGCAGATGCCACTGGTGAAAACAGAAAGGAATCAACATATCTGTATATACAAATGGAGTATTGTCCTAGGTATATATTTCATAAACACCCTTGCTACTTTCGCCTGTTACTGAGTAATGTGCACGGCAGCTTTTTTTATCTTCTGCTATGGGTTTCTTTGTGTATTAGATGAAGATTAATGTTTTTGTTTCTTGCCCATACAAGAGTTGAGTGTCTTCGTTTACATGGCTTTCAGTATTGCAATGCGATGGTTGTAGACACTTAATCATTGATTGATGGTTAGAGAAGTTTTGATATACTAATGAACAAGGCATCCAAGGCATGCCCACCTATTGTTTTGTAAGGAGCCAAGCATTTGTCCATTTTTCACCTGTTGGGGTCACCAAGTGAAGAAGTAGGTATCAACAGTGATTGATGTTTAGCCCAGACCAGTGTGAAGAGTGCCTGGATTGGCCTGGCCTGAAACGAGGGGCAGTCTTCATAACAATAGGTGGTAGGTGCTAAATCTGTTGATTTTGGAGGAATCTGCAGCCCAAATTCGAAGATAATATGGACTGCCCTGCATAAGCAAAGCTAATCTTTTATGTGTACTGCACTAAAAGGAAGATCCATCTGGTTACATGTTTGTCAAAAATTGATAGCAATATGATGCTGTATTGATTACCATGGGTAGCTTGATGAGACATAAGGCCATATCTTCCTGACATTGCTATCTTAGTCTGGCAGAGGATCATGCTCATCGAGCCAATACTACAATATATTACCTAAGAAATATGATAAAAAAATTACCATCGAGATTTGCTTGGGTTAGGATCTTCAGTTTTTAGATGCTTGTTGAGGCAAAAAAATAGGCTGGAGTCTGTTCAAAGTTCATTCTATCAAGGAAATTAAAGGATACAAGAAAGAAAAAAAAACTGTCGAAAAAACAGCAGTCAAAATCAGTCTGCAAGCTTCTTTCATCCAATCACTAAAAATCACAAATCTTCACATATACTTCTTAAAGACTAATAATCCAATTTCCTAGAATAGAACCATCAAAGCTGCTTCTGAACATATCCTGAATGGTGAAAGTCTTGTTGCTTTAATGTTTAAACTTTAAACTATTCTTTTTTCCGGCTTTCCATATCATTTGATACTTGCTAAGGACTCAGATTCCATGAATGGTACCATCAAAAGCTGCTTCTGATCAGATCCTGAGAGATGGAAGTCATGTTGCTGAAGGTTAATTTATCCTGACCTTTATATCATTCAGCAAATTTTCATCATAAAACCATCCCAAATCCTCCATTATTTCTAGGGATATTTAGATATTTACTTCTTGCTTCTGACCCCATCAAATGGATTGGAAACTTGTTGTAGTGGAGAGACAATTTTCTTTGGAAGAATGTTAAAAACAATTGATGATATATTGTAGTTTTGGATAATGCCTAAGAAGCTTGTTGGAGTGGAGAGTCAATGTACAATGGATTGGAATCTTGTTGGGGATTTTTTGAGTGTTTTCTTATCTCTTTCTCTCCCTCTCCTCTTCTCCTAACTACATTTATATTCCATGATCCTAATGAAATTAGTTTCTTAGTGTATATTCCTATTTCTCTTGGAAGATATACTAAAATTTACTTGTGCATGAAGATTTTTGTCACCAGTTGGTTTGTTCACAGGAAATTATCTTGTCTTGGAATAACAGATGGCTTTTTAAAACCATGATATTTTCCTATATATTCAAAGACCTACCGAGCATAAATATGTATTATCAGTTCATTTATTATTTTACTTCTTGGAGCAACATTTTCTGTGATATCACTAGCTGGTAACCTGATGGATGCTGTGATATCACTAGCTCATGATCATATAACTATTTTTTGCTGATGCCTCATGGTTGTTGTTTTTATTTATTACCTTACTAGGTTGTCTCGTAAATATCCCTGTCTATTGGATATCCTCTCGAGAATAAATATTCACCATTCTAAGTTGGACTTGGCATATGATCTATTGATTGTAAATCTCCACCATTAGAATACCTCATGGTTGCATGGGTTGAATAATTTTATTTCTTTTGCCTTGTTCTTACTTCTTACTGTAATTTTTTTTTGAAGGACTTTACGGCAGGTTTTTGAGTCATATAGTTCCTTCTTCGATAAGGACTATGCATGGCATTTGTTTCGCCAAGTTGTGGAAGGCCTAGCACATATACATAGTCAGGGAATAATTCATCGTGACTTGACTCCTAGTAACATATTCTTTGATGTTCGTAATGATATTAAAATTGGAGACTTTGGTCTTGGTAAGTTTTGTGTTTTTCTTCTTTCCTCAAATTTGATTATCTGCAGTATAGTAAAGAGAACAATGGTATGTGGAAGTAGTCATGCTATTTCAAGGTATAAAAAGAAATTCTTTGAAACATCACGTCATTTATCATTTAATCTGCTAATCTTCATCAGTTGTGATTATAATTGAGAAGTTTATTCTTGACATGGTTGACACAATTCTAGAACTAGATATTGTAGGTGCTTAGGTGGAATCAAAGAATATAGTTTGGTCAGAAGTTGGCGTATGCTGCAAAGTTCCTTGAGAGAGTTGAAAATGTGCTATGTAGGACTAGGTGGTTTCTCATTGTAGTGTGGAAGTGCCATTGAGATAAAAAGTTAACATAGTTGCATGACCTATTTAATAAGTTTTACTAATTAATTTGATATGAGAATCCATAGTTGGGACTGACGGTTTTGCTGCTGTTGTTGTAGTTGTAGTAGTAATTAATTTGATATGACTCTGGGGATAGCTGTTTCTTGACATACTAAATGAGTTAGGTGGAAGTTTGTGATATCTATTTATATTTTATAGATTGAACTTCTGAAACTTTATGGGGAGATTGTTGAACAATGATAAAGAGAAAAAACGTATCAAATATTTGGTGAAGGTGTTGATTTGATTTAGCGCATTCATTTAGTTGTAGCGATTATCCAAGAACAAATGGTGGACACAAATAATTTTGTGATGCAACAACCAAATAAATTTTGCACAATTGTTTGAGTTTTTGTCCTTATTTACATACATGATTTATCCCCGTAAATTTTATATGTTGTTTAAAAGCTTATGCTATTTTCTGTAAAATGTTAAACATGGCAGCTGCTTTAAGAGGGTATGCTTAGTGAAGAACATGAAAGCTAGGTATACAGTTTTGAATGGACGTACCGGTCTGATAGGAAATCGGTACGTGAACCACTCGCTACCAGGCGCTATTTTTTTTTTTATAAATAATATATATTTATATATATATAAAAAGAGGCGACGTCCCCTCGTTTTTCTGCGACGTCGCCCCGCCTGGGGAGAAGAGAGGCGACGTCGCACATTTTTTTTATTTTTTTTATATAATATATAAATATATAAATAAATAGATATATAGATATATAAATAAAAATTATATATATAGAGAGAGAGAGAGAGGCGACGTCGCCTCGCATGGGGGAGAAGGGAGGCGACATCGCCTACGAATTTTTTTTTTACTTGTGTATATATATATATATATATACATATACATATACATATACTGAACGGTATAGTGCTCGATATTTGCTTAACCATGTCAAAGTAGATTATATGGGCACTGCTAAGGAGGGTCATGTTTGTTCAATTAAAAGTTGTTGTAAGGTTGTAACCTATAGAAAAAGTTTAAGTGTAATATAAAACATGCTGCTGTTGGTTATGGGCCTTATAGAGCTAAATGACAGAAAAGGACTCATTTAGACAATTTCACCTTACAAATTTATTTTCTTAATGATCATCTTTGGCCTTTTTTCATAGTGATATATTTTCTTGCTTCTAACTAGTATTGTTTTTCTTTCTTTTCCTTTCCATCTTCAAGTCAAACAAGGTTAATCTTGATATAATGGGTTTAAACATTTTTGTAACCACTACTCAGTAAGATCTTCTCATGTGGAGTTTTCTGGCTATTCAGGATGGTTAGATCTTTCTCTATATTGGAACAAAAACTATGCTGGAAAGATCTTCCCCTACAAAATGAGAAATACATGATTGATTAATAAGTTCTATGCAAAAAGAACAAGAACTATGCTGCTTTTACTCTTTACATAAAGTTCATCAATTAATTGTTTCTGATAATTATATTGTCAAGGAAAGAAGCTCTCCTTTTCATATGGTGACATGAAGTTCTTTACATAAAGCAAATTTCTTTTCCAAACTCTGGGAGTAGTTATGTTCTATTCTGTCTATTGAATTGTAATATCATGAAAGCAACATCTTATAATTTGGAATGGAGCTATAACTCTAAATTAACTTATTGCTTCCAGCCAAGTTCTTAAAACTAGAGCAGCTTGATCATGATCAAAATTTTCCCATCGAAACAACTGGAGTGTCAATGGATGGAACTGGTCAAGTGGGTACTTATTTTTACACTGCACCTGAAGTTGAGCAGAGCTGGCCACAAATAAACGAAAAGGTTTGGTATTTCATGCAGTGAATTTGCCTGTGTTTTTCCATTGGATAATTTCAATTTTTAACAATTTAAAACATGACTCTTGGTTATCACCACGTCAGCCAAGTGGCAGACGAGTTCTATAGGATGTAATAATTCACATATCTTTTCTACAGTAAATAATTCACATAATCAATTGGATGCTAAGCATGAAATTGCTGTAATTATTCAACATCTGTTTATTTATTTTAAATCTGTAGCTCCAGGTTCCCCAATTGTAAATTATAGTACTAAATTGTTATTTGTAATTTCAGGTTGACATGTATAGCTTAGGAGTTATATTCTTTGAGCTATGGCATCCTTTTGCAACTGCAATGGAGAGACACATTGTTCTTTCAGATCTTAAGCAAAAGGGTGTGGTTCCACCTTCCTGGGCTGCAAAATTCCCTAGCCAGGCAACACTATTGCGGCGGTTAATGTCTCCAAGTCCATCAGACCGTCCATCTGCTATTGAAGTTCTGCAGCATGAGTTGCCTCCCAGATTGGAAGATGAGTGGCTAAATGGTAAGTTAATTCTACCAGGTTGAAGCATTTAACTGTTGTTATTATAAGGAGAAAATGGATTACATTGGTTCAAGGTTTCATAAATGACTGTTAAATGCTTATCTTTAAATACTTGTAAACTTGATGCTTTAAAGTAAAAGTTGAGAATATTCATTTTTATAAATGCACTGAAAATAGCAAATGTAAGTTGTGACTGTCGGATCCTTGAGTCATATCTGCAAGTGAATACCTTTGCTCCATTCGTTTACTATATTTAAGAAAGAGTTCAAACATGATAAGTTGAAACATTTCTGAAAATTGTTTCAAATATGATTGTTTCCCATAATGGCTTGAGGTATATGTGTGATTTCGGATTGCTGTGGTTCATATTTATGCTCCAAGAAGCAATAATAAATGAACTGATAATACAATCTCCTAAGAACTGTTCATAACGTTCTTTTTTTGTAGTGAAATGGTATTTGGCTTAATTTGGTCTATAATCACATCCAACATGAATATGCATGTTAGGCATTGTAGCTTTATAATAGAATGATTGGCTCACAGAAAGTAGTTAGTAGAAGAAGCACTTTCTCGGGCAAAAGAGAGCAGGATTTGATTAAGCGAGGGACGTTTTCAAAAGTTAAAACCTGTCAGGGCCTATATTTGCTAAATCTCTTGGAACATCTACTTTCTTAGGCGCTACATTGGATATTGTTGAAATCATGAATGGCTTATCCGATCAATATTTAGTCATCTATATTCCACATCTAAAATTAACAGGTTCCACCAAGACTTGATCTTATGACGAATATGAACTGTGTGATGGATCTGTGTTACTGGGAACACGGAATGTTTTGGTATGTGGAATGAAAATGGGAATGTGGACTGTTACTATTATTGGAAGTTTGGAACATTATATGAGGAGGAATTTCTGCAGTTCGTTTAGATGAAATATGTTTATTGGAAATGCTGAATGCAAGGTTTGCAATGCTGTCCGATGCGATGGTACTGCTCAGTATAGGACAACATTTTATTTTTTTATTTTTTCAGTATTTTTCAGTTTTTTTCGAAAGTCAGTATGTATTAATGTACCGACATTTGGTATACTTATATATAGTACCAGTTCGAGCCTTGACCAGTATGGTACCAGTACTGGAACTTGCAAACCTTGGTTGAATGTTTTGAATTGATCACATATATTACGATATGCATGCAGATTCTGGGACTGAATTTTGTGCAAATTCTAATCTGTTTGTGTATGTCTTTTTTTTTCTGTTTACTGTTAGGATGTGTATGCCCTTTCAACTTTCCTTTTTCTGCTTCCTATTCGCTTGTTGGTACATTGATTTTTCACATTCAGGATTGTGGGTGATCCAGATTGCATCTTACTGTCAACTAGCATTTATTGGTGTTGTAGGGTTAGATCCTTAGCCAAGGCAGACTAATGCAAAAAAATTGTCATGAATATTTATGCACAACTATAAATTTATGTTACCATGTGAGTTCATGATACTATGCCAAATTCCAAATTTGCTTCTGCTTGAAGTTTGTAAAAGGTAAAGACTAGCGACTAGAGACTGGAGACTAGAGTAGAGAGAACTATTAGGATATAATATTTTTGACTTCTATTGCATAAATGAGCCAGAATCCGAAAGGATGCAGAACAAAGGAAGCAGGATTCTTTATTGCCTGTTTGAGTGAACTGGGAAAAAGGGAGTTGCATTTACAATAGATTACTGGTAGCTGTATTGTGAATACTAGCACTTATGTGCTAATAAAATTGGCAAGTAATTAGGTTTACAGGTCCATTAAAGTTAATCATGCCACTTTTTAGTATCTGTCACTGTTGTGGTTGTAACAAGTAACAACTTCAGTGACAATTCTGATCATATTAGAAAGGATTTGCATTTGTAAGTACATTTGGAGGTGGAAAGTAAAGTATGAGAACCACCATAATGTAGATAGATGATATGGGGGCGAAAAAACTGTTATCAGATGGCATATGATACTCAGTAACAAATATAACATGCAATTCAAGGAGGGCTAATAGATGCTGTCTCACACTCACAGACAAGGAAGTTACTTCCATTGTAAAACCCTTGCCACCAAATTGCAAAGGAGGAACCCCACCTTGGTGCCCAAACACTCCTCTACAGTGAACCTTATTATTGCAAAGATATAAGGTGGAAAATTAAATCATTTCATAATTTTTGATTTTTTATAATAATTTATATATCCATATTCAGTGGACCTGTCATTTTTGGAAAAAAAAAAAAAGGAAGCAAGCAAGCTAACTGAAAAGCTTGTGATTTTGTAATTTACAACTTGATGCAGTAGATTAAAGTTAGTTGACAAGTTATACCTGTTCATTGTTGGGGAAATATTTTTTTGGTGAAGACGTAGGTTGTTTACAATCGTTCTCCAAAACCATTTACACTTGAGATGGACTAATGCAACTTATTTGGTATAAATTTTTAATTTTTTATTGTTTTTGTTATTTAGAAGTTATTCTGTACCTTTTTTTATTAAAAGATTTTCTTAACATTACTTCTCTATTAAGGGCTAATCTACATTTGTCTATGCTTATCAAACAGATATACTACGAACCATACAGACATCAGAAGACACATATGTATATGATCGAGTTGTATCCACTATTTTTGATGAGGAAAGATTAATTACAAAATATCATTACCAGCAAAGTGGCAGTGCAAACATGACAAGAGATGACCCTTCTTTTGTGCAGCATGCACAGTTCGATACTGGATTCAAAGATATTGTTGTTGCAGTTAGCAAGGAAATATTTAAACAGCACTGTGCAAAGAGATTTGAAATATCACCCTTGCGAATATTGGATGGCTGTTATACATTCAACAGGTTTGGTTCTTTTCTTTTTAATTTTCTTTGAAAATAAAATTATTGATGGGTGTAATACCCCTGCGCTTATGGTTCTAATGATTGAATTGCTAAATGAAAATGCTGACTTTCTACCTTTAGGAAGACTGTCAAGCTTTTAACTCAAGGAGGAAACATGCTTGAGCTCTGCCATGAATTACGCTTACCATTTGTGAATTGGATTGCTAAAAGTCAGGTACTTATATCTAAGATTAATGAGATAGAATCTTTGAGCTATGGTATATCCTGCTAACCTGCGACATTACTGCCATTATATTTCGAATGACATCCTGGTCATAGGTCGTTAATCATGATTCTTGCATCTTTTGTTTCAGCCTCATGTATGAAACAATGTTTTCCTTGAGTACCTGTTTGTATAAACTATATGACATTTATCCGGCCATTTTGCCTGCTAGTTACAGCATTGTGCTATTCTTTTGTTGGATTTTTCAATTTCTTCTATTCTTTGTATTGGAGTATTGAATGGGTTGGTGTGGGTGGCCATGTTCTCTGCTTGGACGTAGGAGGCACTGATATGATATGCTACGCTAGAGAATGGCAATCCTTGATCTAAGCATTTGATGACATTGCTCATGGTAGAATTTATCTTCTCTTGAATTGACTTAGACACTAGAGCTAATGTTTTTTCAGCATATGCTTCATGGTAAGCCCATTTCCACAGAAGGCAACTATTTTCCCTCATGGGTGGTGTTTGGTACTAGAGGTGTCATATCTATTGTAGGCTCAAGCCGCTCAACCAACATTTTCAATTTTGGGTATCGGTCCATGACCGGATTGGTATGGTTCTGATCCATGTCGATGTACTAACACAAGGTATACTAGAATGTGAAAAGAGGGGGGCGAGCATGGAGTGGTGTGCGAGGCGGTGGAGGAGGCAATTGGGACGAGGAAAAAGATGACGGGGTGGTGGTATCACAGACCTTTGCAAGCATGTACTTGGTACGATGTCATATGATCAAAAGACTGCTCATAACTGTTGTGTTATACTTTATGATTATGCAAGATATGCAATTTCGTATTGTACCGGAGTTTC